GACGCCAAGACACCGCGCCAAGAAGGGCCTGCTCTCCGGTAACGCCCAGGTCCTCGGAGCCGCAGACCTGGTCACGACAATCAGGCTTAAACCGACCTCACCCCGGCCAGTCATGCCAGCCAGGCCAGGGTCGCATGTTCCGGGGCCGGGTTCCCCAGGCCGGCCTAACCCAAGGTGCCGCAGAGTCCGCGCCCTCCACCTCCGAACGCCGAGCCTTACCTTGTCTGGCGTCTCTTTGGCCACGCCGCAGCGGACCCAGGCCACGCACGTCACCTGGCGGCTGCGGTTCATTGTCCTCGGTTCAGGGACACTCGGCAGAAACGAGACTGGGACTCTCTGGATCGCACGCCCGAAGAATCAGAGGCGAGTTGCTTCCAGGGCAAAGCGCAGGCGCAAACACTACTTCCTGCGGCGTCGGCAGCCCCTTCTGACGTCATTAGAAGGCGCCAAATGGGAAAGGGGTGGGGAAAGGGTTAGAAGCAGAAGCGGAAGCTGTAGCAGGCTGGCGAGGAATCCACGTGGGTTGGACCGTACTACGTTGGGTGACATGAATGGGCTTTTGAGGATTGTCTCACGTGTGATGATGTCTTCAGGCTTCATGGAGGCAATAAATAAATAAAATTGGAACTGTAGAGGTCAGTCAGAGGCAAGTTTCCACCAACATTTATTTTGCTTGCAGTTCCATAGACTTTGAACTGATCAAAGGTTTGTGGGCTATTATTATTATTTTTAAAGCTTCCTCCAAAATGAATTGTCATTTCAAGGATACTTATGCCGTTACATTTTATTACATTATTGGATGTTACATTCTCACCTTAAAACATTCAGTACCTATTATATACTAAGTTTACAGCAGTGGCTGTAGCAGCAGCAAACACAAAAGTGCTTGTAATGTGCGAGGCACTGTTTTACATGCCTGCTGTTAACTTGGTTACTTCTGAACCCTGTGTGGGAGGTCTTACTCCCATTTTACACACGGGGACACATTAATTGTCTTCCCCAAGGTCACACAGTTAGTAAGTAGTATAGCTAGGATACGAAACCAGGTACTGTGACTCCAGATGCTGGCTGTAATCTGTGCCATGCTCCTCAGCTAGTCAGTCATCGATTAGAAAATGTCAGTGGCGCCAGGACTTAGATAGACAGTCTTAGCCTCCCAGAAAGATCTGAGTTTTGCTCTCTTTCTTGGCTGTGAAACCCTGTCCAGGTCATTTGCCCTCTCTGAGCTAGCTTCCATCTGCCTCTCCTATCTCTGAGACAGGCAAACAAAAACAGAAGAAATGGCTGCAATGGGGAAAGAGTGGAGGCAATGAGAAATTGGCAGTACATGGCTTTCTCCAGTTGCATTGTCAAAGTGGGCTNTAAAAATCCTCTATTCACCCAACCTACCATTCATTGCTCTCCTTCAACATGGCTGAGTGATGGGTTAGTCATGCGTGAAATGACCCACCTATAATGGCTCTGAAGTAAAATTGAAAATGAGAATAAAACTATCATAGTTTCATTTATAAAATTTTTAAAGGATATTATTCACATAATGGTGATTCCATTTGTTTTGTGGCTCTCAAATAATTTTTAAATTGTTGTGAGGGACAGGATTGGCTCTTCAATCTCAAAAGTTTGCCGACCCCTGGACTAGCTCAAGCCTGGCATTTCTGAAAGCCACTTTGAGGACCCCCTTCTGGCAGCTCAGCTCCGAGTCCACATGCTAAGCATAAATTGTTCAATGTCTGGGCATCCTGCTCTCTTGGCATCAGAGCTATTTACCTATTTCCTGTAAAAAATAACCAAAACTCATGCATATACTGGGCTTTCTCAATTGGCCCCAGTTCTGAAGATGAGGACACCGTATTACAGTAGGAAATAGGAGAAAGCAGAACTGTGTTTCAGCTCCAACTGACCCATTTTTTTAAAAAAACCAACAACCGTGAGAAAACTAGAATGCCTATGTAAGCGTGAGGGTTTTTTCGTGGTTTATTCTTGGCGTGCATCTGAAAGGTTGCAGCTAAAAGCCACCTTTGTTTTATAGCATATAAAGTTTCTTTTTCTAGCATTCTCAGCAACAGATAGCACGTGAACTTCTCGATCTCCACGTGGAGGTCAAAATAAGAAGGCTGGTTGATGTGTGGCAGGAACCAGACCACGGAACGCACCTTCCTCATCCTCAGAGGGATAAAGGCGGCCTGGGTTGCAGGCTCCGTGAGCCTTGTCTTGTTTATAAAGCTGTAAGGAGCAGCTGAGTCTTTGAAGTCTTTCTCAGCTCTAACATGGGACCAAACATCAAACCTCCCAATTCAGATTGCTTCCTGTGCCTGGAAAGAGGAATACATCTAGTTTTGTATTAACACAGCTACTCCCCGATCCCCACACCCCATGGTAACGGAGAGCAGGTCTTGGAGGCTAGGAGATGCCTCTTGGAGTGTGTCTCTGGGTAAGTGATGCCCATCTCTGAGTCGGTGCTGTGGTGAAATCAGCCTTTTGGGAGCTCTCCCCAGATGTTTTCTCTTATCAGCAAGGCTGAGGACCCAGGTCAGTGGGCCCTTGGCCCAGTAAAAGCCAAAATTCTGAGTTGGGAAAGGTGTGGGCTCAGAGGCTTAACAGGCCAATCATGTCTCCTGTTCGATCTATCGCCCTATTGAACATGACCATGACCATGGGTGACCTTGGCCCGTCTGCCAAAGAGACATGGGGGTGATCCTAGGGGAGGTGGGTCCTCAGAGGCTATCTGGCCATTTCACTTCACAACAAGAGTTGGCCTGGTAGCGACTCAGTCCCCAGGCTGTATCTGCATGTCAGGGAGATGGAAGATGGAGGGACCCCATCTTCCTCGTCTCTGTCCCCAGTGACAATACCCATTAAATATTGGTCCTTTGGAACTGAACCCTTACACTCCTCAACACTCCTTTCCCCCACCAAACAAACCCACAACGAAAACCGACACCCAGCAGACTCTGACCTTGGCATAATAGCTCACCGCAGGCACACCTGAGCAACCTCTGCCTGAGCCCCTAAGGCTTTTTCTTCCTCTTCTGAATAGTTATCCAAATGGGTTTTGTTTGTTTGTTTGGTTGGTTTTTTTGAAGCAGTGGCAAGGAGAGACTATCTTATCCACCCCACCTCCCTTTAAAGCAGGCATTATATTGGGTTGTCGGAAAAGTCATGCATGATGCATTTTTGCAATGAAAAACATTGGAAAAAATACGTCATGACTTTTCTGACGACCCAATAAATGAAGAGGCGTGGCAAAGAGGAAGGGTTTGCTCCGGAGTCACATCAACATAGGCCCGCATTCCAGCTTTGCACTTCCGAACTTCTTAGCCTTGCTGTCTGCACCTCAGTCTCCCTGTTTGTAAAATGGAAATACGAATCCCTGGAGGAGTCACCGTGAGGGCTGCAGCCACACATTTACAGCATGAGGAACAGTGTCTGCCACATGCTAAATGTTCCATGTTAGATCTCACTATGATGTCCAAATCACAGCAATGCTGGATTTTCCTTGTTTCCCTATTTTATGTACATTGCAGAGTGTTTTTCCATAGTAGGTATGGATAGGATTAAGCTGTGGTGGTCCTTTATCTGTCAGCCAATCGTTCACTAAAACCAACCCTGTCCTTTCATGCTGATTTCTACTCTCAAAGGTATAAAAGAAGAACACGAAAGATAAGGAATGGAAAACACACCATTCCCCCGCCCACTGAAAATGATATCTCAGACCCATAGAAGCTGCATCTCTGATGCAGCTCACAGAGGCACGGTAGGCACTGTTTCCATCCCCTCTGGGACGAAATGTGATATTCGGCTGATAGTCACATAGTAAATTCCCTGCTGTAGAGCTCAGAACAGATGAACAAGAGGCTGGGGTCCCCTGGGGGGGGGGCTCCAGGGAGTGAGGCTGTCAAGACAGTGTCATGTATCACACTGGAACCCAGTGAATGACCCCCTCAAACTCAATAGTGCAGAAAGAGGGGAGCTGTTCGGTCACCCCGGCCTGATGCCTGACACAGCCACTACTGGCCTTTGGGGATCGGAGGCTGCAGATGAGGTGGATTTAACCAATCACTGCTCAGACTGGAGGCACAGCTCCAGGGCAGGAACAAACCCTGGCTTCCCTCTTGCTTTGCCCTGCTTGCCAGATGGTGGTGTTCTCCCTCCCACCCATGCTACAAGAGTACCCCTCCATTCCCTGCCGTGTCAATGCACTGACATTCCCATTCTGTGGGTGGGAAGGTTGAGGCCGAGAGGGGAACTCGCTCGCCAGGCACTTGTGGCCAAACTGATGCACAACACACGATTTTTCTCTGTCGAGTCTGGTTTAAAAAAATGCATAGCAGATGCCGTGTTGACACGTGCAATTTCACGTACCTGGATTTCATTCTTTTCTCAAAAATGGCCCTTCCCTAACTTGATTGCTTTACTGAATCCATTTTTTTCCCCCTTTATAAAAAGAAGCTTCATTTTTCAGGGACTGAATTGCTTCTAGCTACTTTTTCTTTTCCCAGCTGGTAAGGTTTTGTAGACCATTTCTCTTCTTTCTGTATTAGATAAGTAGGGATAATGAATTGATCTGCTGCCTCACTAACTTGATGAGGATAAATAGGGTGGCAGACTTTAATAAAATGCAGCACTGGCAAAAATGAAGGCTGGGAGGTCATTATAAATTCTGCATAAGATATATCAAGATTGATCTGTGGTCTGAGGCCAAATAGATGACAAATAACAGGAGAGACCTAATAATGACAAAATCCCTGAGTTGTAAGGGGCTTTCTTTTGCAACCTACACTCCTGTATTGCTTGAATCTCTACCAAGTGGTTGCTTTCCTTGAATGCTTCCTGCGATAAGGAACTCACTCCCCCTGAGACAGCTCATTTCATCTTTGGAAGGCTCTGCTCTGACTTTTAAAATTTCTTATTTATACTTACGTAAAATCTGAATCCTTGAAGAGTCCATCATTGGAACAGCTCGAATCCCGGAGGCCATACTGAGTCAGGCTAATTCCTCTTACCTATGAAACCTCTCCTGCTATCTGAAGACAACCATGATGGTCTTCTATGGGCCAAACATCCCAGTTCCCTCAGCCGTTCTTTTACCTTCTGGTTATTTCCTCCTTGATGAGGTTGCAGTTTCTCTGTGACCTTCATTATGTGTAGGGGACATTTGTTATGTTCAAGGCTACCTGTCATCTTTCTGTATTTGTAGAAATCCCTTATGTCCTGTCTCCCTAATGTAGCAGTAAGAACTGAAATTCCCAGCCTCCCCTGAGGCGAAGACATAGTCAAATGACCCGGGTCCTGTCAGTGGGACGCATGGAAACAAAGCTGTTTCTGAAGAGAACGTAAAGAAATGGGAGCGTCCATATAGTGCAAGTAGAGGCAGAGGCATTGAGCTTTTTGG